ACCTGAGCACTTATCCTGACTACTGTCTAGCTGATATCCAGGATTACAGAGACAAGGTTTTATCACCTGCCACTGTCCCCTAGGACCACATATGAGAATAGGATTAGCCCCAGACTCTGTGGAACTGTTCTCTACACACTCTCCCTCCACTGAAGGTGAGCCTTCCAGAGACTGGGATTCAATTGCCTCAGGTCTGGAGATGAGTTCTGATGTCTCCTCTGGACACACATAGTAGAGAACTAGAATTCTTGTGAGAGTAACACAAGTGCTCAAGTCAACAACTCCCAAGTAAAAACCACCTGTGGTGCCCAATTCAATATCATGAGAGTCAACAAAGGACATGACTCCACTAGTAACATCAGGAGAGACTCGACCAACTCTGACATAATTGTTGGTGTTATTTGCTCCATTTCTGTCGATGGCTGAAGTCTCCCACTTGTATAGTTCAAAACTCTGTCTGCACTGTCTACTGATATCACATCCATTGAGAGTTCCCTCAAACTGAACAGTCACTTTCCTCAGTCTCTCTCCTCCTCCTCCTGGTAGCACTGTGTTGATGTGCTGTGTGATGAGCCAGTTCTCTTGAGCTCCCTCACTGAATCCACACACTGTCACTGTCCCAGCACATGTGGCTGATCCAGTTTGAGTCCACTGGAGAGCAATTACTTTATATAACAAATATAATAGAGGGATTGTCCTTACCTCAGTTACAACCATGTTTGTATTGTTATTGTCCCTATCCAGGCTTTGCCACGGTACATACGCGTCGCCACTTTCCTGAAGCAGGCGGTTATAGTCTCTGGAGTCCATGAGAGGTCGTTCATTGACAGAGTACATTGGGCGGTTGGCAAAGAACGGATTCGGCTCTCCATTAACGATCTCCTCAGTACATATCGCTACACCATCTCCTGGAGCTTGGTCCTGGACACAGCCTGCATGACCAGTCAATAGCACCGGCCAGAGCACCACCAAAGTAAAAGTTTTGATCCTCACAGAATACACCATCAGTCACCTCGCTCTACTAATAGTATACGCAACTGCACACTCAGGACTATGGAGTTGCTCTTTGTGTGTCCCAATCTGTGTACATTCACCATTAGCTCTCAGATGCCTGACATAGCTACCATTCCCTCCTCCGTTACTGGGTTCATATATTTAGTTATGGAGCGGATTCATGTTGCAGGCAAAACCAACTATGTCATCAAGAATGTGTGGTGTCTACAATTCTCTTTTATCCGTCATGCTAATAGCAATTTTTGCCTGGTCAGAGTGACGCATGGAGCAAATGTTGCATTAAATGTGGTCATGAGGGATTTAAGCACACAACGCAGCCACTTTGCTTTTTCTGTAGAGCTACTATTAATTAGCTCCCATAGCCAGTCTCTGGGGAATTGCTGGCGAAAGAGACATGTTAGGGTGTCTAGGAAGTGAGATAGAGACCACTTGAATTATAGTACCAATGGTTCTGACCATTGCTCTGGGTGCATGGTCGACTGATGGCCCTAGAGATACTGTTTATGTCATGCAAGTGACCAACATGGTGTGACATAACAAAGAGCATGCACAATATTGGTAGTAGCTACAATATTATAGCTACTTACCAAAAATTTTGCTGGTCACGAACTTGTTATGACGAACTCTTATTACAAACGATACTTTAGCATCTGGGTAGCTAGTGTAGGCTCATGTGATGTGGATGATAGCTAGCTACCCGTTAGAAATTGTAATCACTACACTGAAGATGATATTATGACGGCACTGGATACTCTCAATCAGACCAACTCCTACATACAGAGGGAGAGTTTTATACTGTGCCATAGCACAGTGGTTTGAGGTTTGCATTTGTATTGTATGATTTGAACCCGTACCCCCCGGAGTTGCCCCAATAGTTGGAGCCTAGACTGTGTGTTGTTGTTTCAAATCCCACCCAGGGAAGCTTATATTTTTTCCTTGGAGAAAAGGAGGTGTCCTATATAGATGTAGTTTACATGTGTGCTATGCCATTGCTTTGCAAGCTGTATATACCTCATTGTATGTGGCAGATTACTGTCAGCCTTTCTACCACACACAGGATGGGAATCTCACTGGCTGGTCATCAGAACAAGATCATCTCCAGTATACGTATCGGAAGAGATGAGTTTCAAAGACAGGGAGTCCATTCGTGTCTAGAATCATGTGACTTGTGACTCTAGTTTACTTCTCCTTCTGTCCCTCTCTCTCTCTCTCTCTCTGTTCTTGCACTATTTCAGATATGTCAATTGCTGGTTAAGTGTTAAAACCCCCATATCAATTCTTACAGAGGCTTTGGACACTTGAGTCCGTGGCTGGTTAAGTGTTAACCTCTGAAAAGAGGACAACCTCCCTATAAACTACACAATATGCATTATGTTCCCTCCAATGTTGCATTCGTATAATGTTATAGAGATGTAGATTATAACAGGAGCCTGACACACACACTTTATTGATAAAAACTACAAACAAAATTACGTTTGTGAAACAATGCAAGCTGTATAGCTAATAATACAAGGTCTTCAAAACAGTCGTAGTCTAATTAACCAGTTCATACACTGGGTCTTCGTGTGTGCCACCCTTACACACTGAATATGCTTCATTGGGATACACAGGAACTTGAACTCTCATATATTATGTCCGGATACATTGTGCACGCCATATGCTTTGTTGGGCTCCATAATCTCCATCCCATCCTCAGACATTTGCTGCGATAGTTGACCCGGCATATCTGAAATGTAAGGACATTATTTTCTGCAGCTTTGGCTTTTTAGCTTTTTTTATACCAGAAGAGGATGTCTGTTCTCCTTTCTTCATCTTTGTCTTTTTCCTGCACATTTGAATGTCAAGTTCAAGCTACCCTAGACCTGACAGATACAGTTTTAGGGTATACCTATAAAGTGGGTTACTCATGCCGGATTGACCATTTTTTCATCATACATGGCAGTAAATCACTACTAACCACGGAGGATAGAAGACAAGCGGAAGAATGAAGTGAGTGCCGAAAAGGAAAGATACAAGGGGTGGTTCCACAGCAAAGACAAACAAAGCTCCTTATTATGTCCGTCTGATAAGTATGATTCCATAGAATAAACGTGTCCTGTAGCTGTGTTTTTTCGTTTATCTATCATCATCGCGTACCTTTCTTCACCAACATACTACTTGTAAAGAATCTCTGTAATGGGAATTCAGAGGCTTGCTATATACATGCCTGTGTATGTATTATTCTAGTTGTTTAGTTGTGGCACTGACCAGTAGATGTAGGCGACAAGACTGGCCACAATGATAGCGAGGAAGACGATGACGACCACAATGACGGTAACAGACAATGGCAGTGACTGGTGGGTCAGAGTTTGGAGTCAGGTGACGGCTCTCTCAGAGATACTGTCACTGGAGATGAGAAATCCCCTCCTCCAACTGACGTCACTGCCTGCACCTGGAGCATGACACAACACAACAAGTGTAAACATGACTGATAATGAATGTTAGTAATGTAAGCACCTAAGCGCTGGCACGGACAGCTTATCCATCAGTCTCTACAACGACAGTGCATGCAGGACACACTGTACATACATGGAGGGTGCAATTCATAAACTTGATGCATAATTGACTGCTTCTCTCTTGTTGTGTATTGTTCGCAAGCACAAGTTAAAACACCATAACTAAATGTTGACTGTGAGCCATGGGGTAAACTGGCCTGATAGTTTGGGGTCAGTACTAGAAAACTGAAATACCCCACGATTTGCCCTTACAGTAACATTGTAGTCCATGTTGATCTCTCCGTAGTTGGAGACATCAATAGTCAAGACGTCCAACTCCTCAACTCTGGTGACCAGTTGCCCAGAGTCAGCTGTGGATATGATGACATTGTAGTAGAGAATGACTCCATTGGGAGGAACTGGAGAAGACCAGCTCAGCACTCCATTCTCTCCCACCACAAACTCTGTCACTGTCCCTCCAACTGCATGGGGTGTGTAGACAGTAAATGTGTTTATTCATTCACAAAAACAATCCAAGGGAGGTAGAGAATGCAGCCTTATATAGCTTTGGACATCATACTGCACACAAAAGCACACCACAACATACATTTGGTAGCTTGGGAAAAACAACCAACAGAAACGCTAACACACGGAACGAAGAATGCATAACAGCATAAGTACTGCACAATAATTATAGCCAGGAGTATGACCACTATGAGCGGCAATTCCCAAGGGACTTCAACCTTAGTGGTTCAGCCTTTATCGTACAGATTGTGATAATAACTGTAGGTTTCCCAAGGATATTCCTAGCTGTGCAATATGCTTAGGAAAGCTTTTATATAGGCACTTCCTCCTCCACCTATGTGGCTTACAATACATCTGACCTCCTTCCTGAGTGTTGGCAGTGGTACTGAGACTCCTGGCATTGATATTGTTGTCCTGAGAGGAGACATCATTCTCAGCAGATACAGAGAATGTGTAGAGGACACCAGGAGTCAGTCCAGTCACAATGGTCTCTGTATCATTCACCTCACTCACCACCACTCTCTCTCCTCCACTTCCTCCTCTGTCTAAGAGTACGAACCATAAGTGAGAAGTATGAAAGGGAAAAATCAGCGACCTCCTTATTCCAGGGAAGAAGGTGGGCGTCAAACCCACAGCCTAGGCAGAGTGCTCTAACCTGAAGTACCAGGGCAGTTAAACTGGCAAAGTTCAAACAATAGCATTCTTACAGAACAGGCACAAACTGCCTTGTCATTAGAGATCTTGTTATCATTGTCTCGCTACGCAATGCCAAAAATCTAAACTTACCAGTGGCAGTGATGGTGTAGACTATATCTCATAAAGAGGTCTCCCTCCATCATTATCAGGAGGAGACCAGGAGAGGATGGAGGATGTGTTGGTCACATTTGACACTCTGAGCATTAGATGGACTTCCTGGAGACTCTGCATGTGAGATACAGACAGATGCCTAATAAGGCATGTTATAGACATGCAATATTACCTAAACAATCCACTAACAGCCCACCCCCCAAGTGCCGACCTTCACTACGAGAATCAAGGATAAGTACGGCTTTTGTATCAACAGAAAGTAGTACTGGTATAATGAAAAGCACTGAAGTCAAGTGCAAACCATTGGCGATCTGCGCATGAGCGATACTGCTAATTGATGGGCTGGGCTTCTATATGCGTTTACTCGTGGTCTCCCGCTAGAAGCTTGCAGAGAGTCTGACATGGGCTAGTTACAGTAGTAGATAGCATGCGAGAGTCGATAATATACATGTCATCCGTTGTGATTTCCTGAGCCCCCAAGGTACACAAGCGAGCGGATCTGGTCGCGGTAGGCTCAGTGCAATTATGCAATTGGCATTTTCGCTTGTTTTCACGGCCTATCCCTCAAACGAAGTCGTTTCAGGGAAAATCACACTTTATTTTCGGGCTTCGGGTAGTTACATGAAGCCGTTAGTATTGCAAATAGGCCGCCTCGTAGCCTGTAGTGCTAGAATAAGAGTCGACACACGCACCCACACACACACACACACACACAGACAAACAGCTACTGTACCCTTCATGCATGGGTCCGAGAGTTATTATGAGATGGTGGAGTTTTGATTATATATATTTAGGAAAAAGGGCAGAAGGGTAGAAGACATGTATTCATCAGAATAAGGCAAGTTGTATGCATTTAGACTTGCAATAATTATCCAAACAATCAACTAACAGCCCCCCAAGTGCCGACCCTTCTAGTACAAGGGATGAACAGTACTACTAAGTAGCTATATTATGGGGATGGTGAAATTAGGCAAAGGGCAAAAGTGTAGAAGAAGTCATTCATCAGATGGATGTCCTGCAGACTCTGCAATAGGTGCATGCAATTTGTAAAAACAAACCCTACAATGTCGACTTCATCTTATTAAATATTTCCAGCCCCTGACAGTCTGGTTTTTGTGTAAACACACTGGTTTTCAATATTAAACTTAATTCTACATCATGTT